GCGCGAAAAAAAAAAAAAAAAAAAAAAAAAAAAAAAAAAAAGAATGTGCTAGGTGCCAGATTCTGTCTCAAAAATAAAAATATTATTAATTATATGTGTTTGTGCTGGGAAGTGTTGGTGCACAACTTTTATCCCAGTGCTTGAAAAGCAGAGACATATGAATCTCTGTGAGTTTGAGGCCCAGCCTAGTCTACAAAAAGAGTCCCAGGACAACCAGGGCTGTTACACAGAGAAACCCTGTCTGGGAAAATCAAAAAGGAAAAAAAAAAAATTGTATGTGTTTGTGTCTGTGCTCCAGGAAGCCAAAGATATCATAACCCTTTGGAGCTGGACTTGCAGGTGGTTGTGAACCCCCGGACATGGGTGATGGGAACCAAACTCAGGTCCTCTACAAAAGAAGAACACACTGTTGCCCATTGAACCATTGCTTTAGCCCCAAAATATCTCATTTCTTTTCCTTAATTTATTATTTTTATGTGCACTAGTGTTTTGCCTGCATGTATGCTTATGTGAGAGTATCAGATCTTGGAGTTACAGACATGTGGGTGCTGGAATTTGAACCCAGGTCCTCTGGAAGACAATCAGTGCTCTTAACTGGTGAGCCTTCTCTCCAGTCCCTCTAATTTCTTTATTGCCCTTAAACCAAGCATAATTCCTTCTGAGATCTCCCATCTTCAGGAAATTCAATAGGTCTCCTCCATTAGACTTCCTTCTCAGATCATTCCAAAGGACTTGAAAACACACACACACACACACACACACACACACACACACACACACACACCACTCTCCTGTCTCTGCTACTGAGTCCACAGCTATCAGCTATTGCCCCAGGTCACAAAGATTTTCAAATTGGGGCTCTGAAGGCTCCTTCTGGGACTTCTAGGGGACAAAACCTTTAGACTCTCTTCCCCCTGAAGGACCCCCTTGTTAAGCTAAGCATGCTGGTATACACCTTTACTCCCAGAACTGGGAGGCAGAGGCAGGCCTATCATATGAGTTCCAGGCCAGCCTGGTCTACATAGTTCCAGGACAGCCTCCAAGGCCCTAAAATGGTAAATTGCTGGCTCCCTCTCAGAGTGGGCAGATAGAAACAGAAAGCATATCTATTGCTAAAAATGTGTAAGTCACATGTGTGCAATAAATGTGACGTAACTGTTCTGTCACATGCCAGTTTGGGTCCTTATGCAAGTTAGCCTCTCTATAATTTAAATTCTTGCTTTCAGGACTAACTGATAAAGCTCAAATTTGAAGATAATATCAGTGTTACTCCAATTTCAGAGACACATATGACTCCTGAGTTGTTATTTAGAAATGGAGAACCCGGGGTCAAATAGAGATGGTAACACAGAAACAAAGGTAGAAGATGGGCCGATGAATGTCAACAGCAAGGAAAGGGACCCAGGAGTCAGCCTTCTAGACCCCAGACTCTCTCCTGCCTCCAGGGTACATCTCCTGCATGTCTAGAGTGTCTTACATGCAACAGATCCCTGTGTTCACTCTTAGTCCTTGCCACAAAGCCTGCTCCTACACTTTTGCCTCCTGGGGAGCACTGCCATACAGCCCATCAGCCCATCTCTACATGTGGGCATCTTTTCATATATATTAGTGACTTTCTGTTGTTGTGCTGAGACACCATGACCAAAGGTAGATTTTAGAAGCCTTTATTTAGCCTTATGGTTGCAGAGGGACAAACCCATCAAGGCAGGAAAGCATAGCAGCAAGCAGCAGGCATAGTAACACCAGCAGGAAAGTTAAAAGATCACATCCTTTACTGCAAACAGGAGGCAGAGACAGCAAACTAGAAGTACAGTGAAGCTATAATCTCGCAAAGCCTGTTCCCAGTGACATACTTCCTTCAGCAAGGCTGCACCTCCTAAACCCCCAGAACAGTGCCATCAGCTGGGAACCAAGTGTTAAAATGCCTAAGCAAATGGGGGACATTTCTCACTGAAACCACTACATTTCACTTTCTGCCTCCCCCATAGACCAGTTGTCTTATTATAATACAAAATGCATTTAGTACAACTTCAAAAGTCCCTATGGCAGTGGTGCACTTGGGAGACAGAGGCAAGACAGATCTCTGCAAATTTGAGGCTAGCCTGGTCTACAGAGTGAGATCCAAGACAGGCTCCAAAAGAAAAAAAAAAGTGCCCATGATCATCTCAACACTATTTAAAGTTTAGAGTCTCTTCTGAGACTCGAGGCAATGTTTGTTTGTTTTATTGTTCTATTTTGTTTGTTTTGTTTTTGAGACTGTTTCCCTGGCTGGCCTGGAACTCACTATTTAAGTCAGACTAGTTTCAAAATTACAGAGATCCACCTGTCTCTGCCTCCCGAATGTTGGAATTAAAGGTGTATACTACCACACCCAAACTTCAAGGCAATCTCTTAATTGTAACCCTCTGTAAAATAAAAAAGCAAATTACAGGGGCTGGAGAGATGGCTCAGAGGTTAAGAGCACCGACTGCTCTTCCAGAGGTCCTGAGTTCAGTTCCCAGCAACCACACGGTGGCTCACAACCATCCGTTATGAGATCTGGTGCCCTCTTCTGGTGTGCGGATATACATGGAAGCAGAATGTTGTATACATAATAAATAAATTTTTTAAAAAAGCAAATTACATACTTCCAACATATACTAGCACAGACTGACTATACATTATCATTTCAAAAGGGAGGGATGGCCAGTACTCAGGTGTCAGAGACAAGCAGATCTCTGTGAATTTGAGGCCAGCCTGGTCTACAAAGGGAGTTCCAGAACAGCTAGGGCTGTTATACAAACCCTGTCTCAAAAAACAAAAACAAACAAACAAACAAACAAACAAAACAAAGAGAAGGATGGAAACAGCAAAGAAATACTGGACCAACGAAAGATTGGAACCCAGCAGTGGGAACATCCAAGCCTGGTATTTTACAGAACTCTGCCCCTCAAGCGTTGCTGCTGGCAACCTACCTCTCTCTCAGGCTGGTTCTTCTACCTGTCTTCAGCTCTGCCTGGTAGATGTTCACAGCTCTGGCATCACCAACATCTTAGAATCTCACCTGCAACCCAGGTTTCATTTTCACAGCCTCATGCAATGACATGTCAGGTCCTTCTGCCCTCTCTCAGGGCCTTTACATGGGCTTCATCTGCCACATGCTTCCTGGCCTCAGTGGCTCTCTGAAATTGCAGAGGACGAATTGTGACCCCCTTCACTCTAGCATCCTTCATGTCTCTAAAGCCAGAATGGTCCTGCACCCCCTCTGACACATTAGCAGCAACTGTCCTTGGCAGCTCATTTCTAGGCACAGAAATTTACAAGTTGGAAGTTTAGCTTGTGGGGGGGGGGGTCTTGCCCTGAGGGCACCCTCCCCTTTGTTCTTGTGCAAATCAGGCCTCTCCTTAATGTAATTGTTAATCTCTTTAACAATTACAGTCTCTCTCCCAGCATAGGGTTGGCTGTAATGTTAAACTTACTGGGACCCTTTTTTCTCCAAACTGTACGTTACTTCTTCCTTTCTGCCCCACTTGCTCTTTTCCATCAAGACACACCTAAACATTATCGATAATAGTCACACCACAGGTCCAACACTATGCGGTATTGAAATTTCTCCAATAAAGAAATTAGTCTATTGTTTTTTAACTTAGCCTTGGCCAAGGGTGGAAGGCAGCTAGATTCTTTGCCAAAATACCACAGGAATGACCTTCAGCCCCATTGCTGCTAAAGCCATGCTTCCCTCTGAAACCTCAGGCTTTCACGGTCCACTTTGCTCTCAGTACTATGGTCTTCCAGGTTCCTGCTAGGATGGCCCATTAAGTTTCAACATGGTCAGGCTCTTCACAGCAACACTCCTGCCCTCAACTCCTCTATTAATTTCTTCCTGTTGCTATGCTGACAAGTGGCCAAAGGCAGCTTACAGAAAAGTTTATTTGGGCTTTTGGTTGCAGAGGGATAGTGCATCCCATTGCTTTCCCATCATAGCAGGGAAGCATGGCAACAAGTGGCAGGCATAGCAGCAGGAGCAGAGAGCAGAAAGCAGGGAGAGCAAAGTGGAAATAAAGTGTGGCTGTAATCTACCAGAGCCTGATCCCAGTGACATACTTCCCCCAGCAAGGCAGTACCTCCTCAACCTCCCCAAACAGTGCTGCCAACTGGGGACAGGATATTCAAATGCCTGAGCCTATGGGAGACACCTCTCTCCCCAACCACCACTGCCTGGTTCTTCTTCGTTGAACTGAGACAGACCCAAGGCCAGGTTGTCCTCTCCCCTGAAACATGTCCTACATCCATCCATTTCCCTCCCTCCATCCAGGCCTGGTCCCCAGCATCTTTCTTGCTGACTTCACAGCCGCATCCTGTCTAGTCTCCCTAAAATC